AGAGCTTTGCTTATTAATTATTTCCAATTTTAGTCCATTGTGGTCTGAAGAGATACTTGGAATGATTTCATTTTTTTAAAAAATTTACTGAGACTAGATTTGTGACCTAATATGTAGTCTATCCTGGAGAATGTTCCATGAGCTGATGAGAAGAAAGTATAATCTTTAGTTGTTGGGTGAAATATTCTGTATATATCTGCCAGGTCCAGTTGGTCTAAGGTGTAGATTAAATCCTGTGTCTCTTTGTTGACTTGTTGCCTAGAAAATCTGTCCCATACTGAGAGAAGGGTGTTCAGGTCACCCACTATTAACGTATTAGGTCCTATTTCTTTCTTTAGGTCTAAGAGTGTTTGCTTTATATATCTGGGTGCTACAGTATTGAGTGAATATATGTACATGGTTGTTATGTGTTCTAGCTGGATAGATCCCTTTATCATTATGTAGTGGCCTTCTTTGTCTCTTTTTATGTTTTTTGTTTTAAAGTCTATTTTATCTGATATAAGAATAGCTACTCCTGCTCATTTTTTGTTTCCATTTGCATGCTATATCTTTTTCCATCTCTTACTTTTAGTCTATGTGTGTCTCTACAGGTGAGGTGGGTATCTTGAAGACAGCATATACTTGGGTCTAGCTTTTTAATCCAGTCAGTCAGACTGTGTCTTTTGAATGAGGAGTTTAGTCCATTCACATTTAGGGTACTTATTGACAAGTGCTGCTTAATTCCTGTCACTGAATTGCTTCTTATTTAGATGGTTTAAACATCTTTTGATTATTATTTCCCCTTTTGTTTCTCTTCTTCAATGTTGTTGGAAATTCAAGGTAGGATGATTTATTTCATCTGCCTGAGTTATTTCAAAAAGAACATCTTCAGGCTCTGAAATTCTTTCCTCTGCTTGCTCTACCCTGCTGCTTAAGCTCTCAGTTGTGTGTGTGTGTTATTTTTATTTCATTGAGTGAATGTTTCATTTCTAGCAGTTCTGCTACACTCTTTTTTAAGGTATTAATCTCTTTGTAGATTTCCTCCTTCATATTCTAGATATCTTTTCTTATTTCATTGTGTTCTCTAATTGAGTCTTTTTTTATTTCTTCAAGTTTTCTTAAGATCATTGCTCAGAATTCTTTTTCAGACATTTCAAGGATTCCCTGTTCCATAGAGTCTGACTTTAGAGCATTACTGTATTCTTTTGCTGGTGTCATTTCTTCTTGTTTATTTGTTGTTCTAGTACTTTGTCGTTGACGTTTGGTCATTTGGTAGAGGATTTGCTTCTTCTGTCACACTGAGGTTGGCTGTGGAGGGGTCCTGGCTGGTACTGTGGTGGTGAATTGTCTCTGCTTGACAGTAGGTGTGGTGATGGTTATGTTAAACTACCTTGGATCCCATTCCAGAATCTGTGGTCATAGAATGAGACCCCAGCACCGCGCAGTTCTGTTGGACTCACTTTGGCGGGTTGGGGTACGTGGGCTGGCACTCCCCTCTGGGTCCAAGGAGGGGGGAGGGGTCGCCTCTGCCACACAGTTCTGCTGGGCTCACCTAAGTGGGTCAGGGCGCACGGGCTGGCACTCCCCATCTGAGTCCCATACTTGTTCTAATACTAGTTTTACCACTATTTCATTTTGTGTTTTCAACCCAGTTACCTGAATTCTCTGTCTCTTTGTTTCTTCTACTGTAAACTGAAAGGATTGCTTTAGATGATTTCTAGTTTGCCCTTTTTCTTAATTTGAGTTCCCTTAAAAGCAGAGCTTGACACAGGGTTTAGGTGCCAGTTGTTGTGAGAGATGTAGTTTAAAAAGTGGAAGTGGGGAACAGGAACAGTGAGACCAGAAGATAAAGTCTAATAGACATCTATAATCATGGTTGCTGCTATACCAATCTCACTGGAGCTTTCAGAAACAACAGAATGCTTCCAAGACATGACTGTGAAAAGGACAGTCACATTGGTTATCATTGCCTGTTTGATGAGAATTTTCCTGAGAGATAACTCTTCCATACTTCTGGGCTACTCCCAGTCTTGGGCTGGCGCTGAGCAGAAACCCATGGCTTCAGACAAAGCCCCGAGGGAAAAGGGCAGAGTCATACATAATGCACAATTTCTTTGTTACTCTCAGTGGGCACAAAAAGGAACTGTTGACAATAGCAATGGCTAATATCAGAATTATTCCAACAGAGTGGGATGGTGGTACCACAAGAGGATCCAATACTCTTTCAGAGGTAAACACCATGATTCTTTAAGTTAAAGACCATATTCTCAGAATTAAATTGAATATTATGGTCCTATGACAAACAAATAAGAATGGGAAATAAGAACTGATACAAATGATTAAGATCTTCATGGTATCTATAAATAGGGAATGGTGCAGTACTGAGTAATTTTTTCATATGCCTGATAATTTCTGAGAAGAGATCCTAACATATATATACAGATATATGTACATATTTTAAAATTATTTTTAATTGACAAAAATTGTATATATTTGTCATGTACAACATGATGTTTTAAAATATGTGTACATGGTGAAATGGCTAAACTAAACTAAACTAATACATATATATACAGATATATGTACATATTTTAAAATTATTTTTAATTGACAAAAATTGTATATATTTGTCAGGTACAACATGATGTTTTAAAATATGTGTACATGGTGAAATGGCTAAACTAAACTAAACTAATTAACATGTGCATTGCCTCAAATACTTATCATATTTTATGGTGAGAACACTTAAAAACTACTCTCAGTGATTTTGAAGATGCAACACGTTGTTATTAACTATAGTTACCATGTTGTCCAATAAATCTCTTGAAACTGTTTCTCTTAACTGCAATTTTGTATCCTTTGACTAACAATTTCTCAATTACTCCCCTCCCCTGCTACACCTGGAAACTACCATTTTACTCTCTGTTTCTACCTAGCACATACATTTTAAACACTGTGGTAGGATGAATTCTATGGTAGGGAAAGGTGACACCAATTAATATCTGTCTGATGAAAATTTTTAAAGGAAATCCAGTTACTAATCTACAAGTTCTTTCTCAGCAAGGAGCTTTCTGCTTAGTAATAAAGCTTTTCAAGTGCAAAGACATCAAAAAAGGAATATATTTCATATTTAGATATATCTTCCATTGTAAACAGAAAATAGATTTGCTAGGACATAAATCACTGTTTTATTTTAGTCATTATAAATCAACCCATGGTGGGACGTGACACTGGAATGACAGAGGAATAAATGGAGTTTTTAAATATGAAGGCATCAGAATTAGACCTGTGTGATGATGCCATAAGATACAGAACATCTATAGAGTGTAGTGTTTCTTCTTGGGGATAAGGGAGTGTTTTGTACACATACACATACATAATAAACACACACAGGTTAGACCAAGCAATACATTATTAACTTTCAAATCATGCTCACTTGAGTCTACAGTATGTATGGAAATCCTTCCTGGCTGTTACAAAAGAAACAAGTAGGTCTCTCAATTGATTTTTCTGCCCTCTTCTATGAAGATAAGAAGGAAAACAAAACAAAATTTCAACTACAGTAAGTTAATGGCTATGAAGTGTTTAATGTGTCAGATAAACCTTGCAGCTAGACTGCTTTCAGTATATCAAATGAAGGAAAGAACTAAGATATTGAAAATGAGATGGGAAAAGAGTGTTGGGGGTGGGGCTTTCCTATCACTGATTTACAACCCAACTTTTATAAATGCACATTATGAACTGTTCCCTTTGATTGACTCCTGAAATTGAGTCACATAAATACCTCAGTATAATTATTTACAGTTTTATTTTCTTTGGTTTTTGTTTATTTCTATGATTTACCCAGTATGTTGTTCAGCAGTCTTGGGTACAATACATTTTGACTGTTTCTAAACATGAATTCTACCTTTCCACCCTCAAGAAAAGGGTATTGCCACTACTGCAGATATTTTAAATTATGCTAACAATTTTCTGAAGTTTTCTCAAATGAAGTTCAAATATTTTGGGCAGTGTTAGAATAAGTTTATAAACCAATGTAGTGAATATAAAAAATGAAGTATCACCTACATTCCCATTACATTTATAAATTAGGAAAAAAAGCCGTCATTTGAGACATTGTTCTTGGCACTGGGAGATTGCTGCAGACAGTTCTGAAAGCCATATTTCAATAATGCCAGTCTAAAAGTGCTAGAATGATTTGGCAAGTACGACTCTCTCAACTCTGACTGTTATATGTATGATAAAAATTACTACAAATTGCAAACAATTTATACTAGATTGCTACATCTATAAATTACAGAAATGTTGGTAATGGCAGTAATTCAGAATGTACCCATAAAGTTGTACAATTATGGTTACCTTTACCCAATAAATAAAAATGATTTTTTTCTTTACTTCAAATCTTCTACAAAATAGTTTTAGGTATTAGTTAGTTACAGCCCTTTTTTACAGTTATATTTGTATTTTGTAGTATGCCAGGAACAAATAAGAGTGGAAAGGAAAAGAGCCAGTCTTTTAACATTTGTTTTCTTATTTCCAAATACCCAGAAGTAAGTCTCTTTAAAAGAACACACTTAAAAAGTAGTAATCTCAGGCTTTATGTCTGAGGTGTAAATGAGTAATATTAGTGTCATGTATGTAAAGAACTAAATTCAAGCATAGAAGAGTGAATGATAACAACTTCTATCTTTGTCGCAAATTCGCAGTGTACTTGAGCATGAACATGAAATGGTTACATTTTTAAATAACCTATAACTATATTCAAGGAGGTGTTTACTTAATATTGCCTACTGGCAATAACTCAGTCTCCTTTGAAGTAGAAAGAGAGGTGCTGCAGAGGAGGACTTACAAGTTCAGAGAGGTTAGATAATTTTTCTGTGGTTGCATTTCATGTATAACAATGATAGTTTCAACCTCCTGATTTTCTTTTTAAATGTATCCTCTTTTGTTACATAACTGCATTTTTCTATCAAGCTGCTCTTCTTGGGGAGTCTGTCACACCTCCCCCCTGCCCTCCAGCCCCAACATTATGCATTCAGTTATTATGTTCCTCCCACTTGGATGGCCTCTCCCCTTTTTACTCTCATGTATCATCTATTACTCAAGGTCTAATTAAAGTTCTGTTTTGTTTATGAGACTTCAGTTACTCCACCTATACTAATCATTACCTTCCCTGACTGCTAATGAACTTCGGAGCTATGCAAAACTTATCAGCACATAAGTGCTTTGTTATTAAAACATATAATAGTTTTGTATCCCTTAGTAAATTGCAAATTGTACCTCCAAGACCTTGGGACACATATATGCTGCTGTAGCACACGGTAAAGGGACAGATACATAATGGCAACACAGTAAACAGTGGCTTATTTATTAATTGACTCAATGATTCATCTGGTTATTCATTTATTCATTTAATTCACATCAATAATAATTTGAAATTCATATAATTTGTGTATTAAAGGTTATATAGTACTTTTGATTTTGGTCATAAGAAGGAAATGGGACCAGACTTACTCTACCACACATTAATCAACTAGAAAAGCAGGAAAAACATACATAAAACAGCAGTTTTTTTAGAAATTGGACAACCAACAGTGTAGGACTATGACCACTGAGAAAAGAGACAGGAGATGGGTCTTTTGATTGCTCCTATCTTACTGCCTGGTGGCAGTTTCCAGAACAAAAGGAAGGGAAGTAAAATCCAAAAAAAGAGTGAGGCAGTCTTGCTAAATTAAGCAGAGATTGGAGTTCAGAGAGGCCATATTGCCTAGAATGTGTCAGGCAGAATCTCTGAGAGAAGAAAACTGCAAAGAGAGAGATATCCAGAGATCTCTAGAGGGTTCTTTAATCTCCTTCTGAGTACTGATGTATATATGAATGCCACTCGTAAGCAGTGAGCCAAACATTTCCTTGAGTTCTCACAGGAATGGGAAAAGTTTGTGTTTGTGGCAGAGACAGCAGGCAGACTTCCTAATATAAAGAGCATTGGGTAGGATCCCCAAAATGGTAATGCCTTAGTAATTGGGTTAAACTAGCCATATACTAAAAGCTGCTGTGAACCTGTCCTAGCAAATCTTAAAGGAAAGACTTGGAAGGACTAAAATTATTTGAGTACTTAAATGTTTCCCAGATGAAGTCCAACAATCTTTTTAAAAAAACAAAGCAACACCCAGGCCCCAACAAAATAGAATTCACAGTGTCCGGCAACCTTTTTTTTAAAATTTTTATTTATTTATTTTTTAAGTACCAGCCATGCAAAGGAGCAGGAAGAGATGAAACAAATCTGAAGAAAAGTCAATCAACAGAAAAGACACAGATATGACAGAGATGATATAGTTAATAGACAAAGATGTTAAAAGTTTATGATTAATATAATCTCTATGTTTAAGAATATGGAAAAAAGCATTGGAAGGATTAGGATAGAAAAGGAAAATATAAAATAAATCCAAATGTAATTTGTAGAGATAAAAACATACTGTCTGAAATATAAAATATTCTATGATTTTTGTATATAGTATGAAGTATGTCTAAAGTTCCTGTTTTTTTCTCTTGTGTATGTATGTTTAACTGTCTTAGAGTAATTTTCTGGGAAGACTTTCCTTTCCTCTTTTGAATTGCCTTTACACTTCTGACAAAAATCAATTAATCACATACATGTGTGTCATTCTCTGGATTCTCTTTATTGTTCCATCGATTTATGTATTTACTCTTTCTGTAATATCATACTCTCTTGATTACTCTAGCTTTATTGTAAGATTTAAAATTAGCCAGTTTGAGTTCCTAACTTGGAATGGTGTTTCAATCTTTATAGTACTAGTACTGCATTGTTTCAATGCACAAATGCAACACATGGTGTATTGTCAGAAAATATGGTCTTTCTCAGCATCTTGATACTCAGAAAAGTGGAAGATTAAAGAGAAAAGTTAATTGTGTTAAAACATAATAAAATAGCCAAGATCTGAGTAGGAATCTTCCAAATATCTGTTTTCTGTTAATCTTTCTGTACTTTTCTCTCAGATGGAAAAACATACTAATTTCTTTTTAGATATATTTTATCTTTGACATTCATGCATATTTTAAATACACATTCCAAGATGATTTTACTTCTTAATTTTTTCTATTATGTTCATTTTTTAATGTTTCATTTTCAAAACTGCAGATTCATTCTAATCCCTCTCATTAAGGTTTTATTCAGATATCTGCTAATTCTTACACATGCCATGGACTGAAGAATAAGGTATTATCTCTTGAGAAAAGAAAGATTATTTTAATAAGACAAATGACAAAATCCTTTATATTAAATAAAATTAAAATGAGTACAATGAGGGGAACCATGGACTGAAGAATAAAGTATTATCTCTTGAGAAAAGAAAGATTATTGTAATAAGACAAATGACAAAATCCTTTATATTAAATAAAATTAAAATGAGTACAATGAGGGGGGGGCCGCCGAGGGTGCAGGGACGAGGGGGGCGAGGAGCAGGAGCCGAGCAGCGACAGCGCCTCGGCGCAGCAGGACCTGGACGAGGTCAAGTCGTCGCTGGTCAATGAGTCGGAGAACCAGAGCAGCAGCTCGGACTCAGAGGTGGAGAGGTGCCCGCAGCCCACCCGGGACGCTTTCCAGAAGCCGCGGGACTATTTCGCCGAAGTGAGAAGGCCCCAGGACGGCGCGTTCTTTAAGGGCACCCCTACCCTGGGTACCCCTTCCTGATGATCCCGGACCTGAGCAGCCCGTACCTCTCCAACGGACCCCTGTCTCCCGGAGGAGCACGCACGGATTGGGGCAGAGACTGTGTCTTCTATAGGTGGACTTCATTTTCAGAAGCATCCAGGGGACCTGGACGAGGTCAAGTCGTCGCTGGTCAATGAGTCGGAGAACCAGAGCAGCAGCTCGGACTCAGAGGTGAAGAGGCGCCCGCAGCCCACCCGGGACGCTTTCCAGAAGCCGCGGGACTATTTCGCCGAAGTGAGAAGGCCCCAGGACGGCGCGTTCTTTAAGGGCCCCCCCTACCCTGGGTACCCCTTCCTGATGATCCCGGACCTGAGCAGCCCGTACCTCTCCAACGGACCCCTGTCTCCCGGAGGAGCGCGCACGGATTGGGGCAGAGACTGTGTCTTCTATAGGTGGACTTCATTTTCAGAAGCATCCAGAATTTTCAACAAAATTCTGGGAACTAAAATGGTGACGGGTTCAGAGCGCCCGCGTCAGGAAACAGTGCGATCCTGAGAGTTGTGTGCTGTGATACCAGAGTATAGACTGCATTTCCAAGAGCAACAAAGGACGAATAAATC